CCCCAAAACCCCAAAACCCCAAAACCCCTTAAAGCTAATTAAACTTGTGATCTGCCTGATGAAAGGAGAGATTTAATTTAAATTCAATAAGCTCGTAAGTGTAAATAATTAATATTTTACAATCTTATCGTAAATTTCTATTAAGAATGTTGAATGCACACGAAAATACTTTGACCAAGAAAATACAAGAAAAGACTCAATTTATACAGCTTAACTCTATCTTTAATTCAGCCCTTAAGAATAGACAGTAAATGCTGTAGTATTAAAGCAATGAATAAATAACTAAACTAGCTGATTAACCTAAAGATATAAAATTAGAATAATAATCTCATAAATCACTTATTCATCTTTCTGATATGAAAGATCGACAACTTGCTAGCGTCATCCTTTAAGATACTCAAATTAATTAGAATTCAAGAGATAATAAGGAATTTCTAAACTCAACCATAGTAAAAGAATCCACAAAGCATGAATATCAGCAACTATCTCAGCTAAATCTACTCAAAAATAACATAGTAGAATTGACTGCCCCCAAAAAACGCAATCATCATTGTAAAAGTCTTCTCTCTCAAGCTAAACATAATTCATAAAGTTATCATAACTATTAGTAGTATCTAGTTAACAAAGACAGCACTTTTAAAATGATAACATAAAAAAATTGTCACAACTTGAAAGAGACAAAGAATAGTGATCACATCTCGAATGTGAATACTGACGAAAACAAATTGCTTACTTTGAACAGCCATGGTTCTGAAAAATAGGGCAATTATACATATATCCTGAATGGAGAAAAATTCAAAACTTATCCACTAAGTATTGTTCATTTAACTAAAAAACTAGATGAATTTTCTGCCACATCTAGTTTACAGTATAATAAAAAATAGGAGGATATTCAATTGCATTAAAGCTTTAGAATTGACTCGAATCTATAAAATGATCCATTATTACAAATATCTACTAAATATCAAGACTTAGAGAGTTTCTCTAAAACTAATAAATTCTATTAAAATATCAAGAAATTAGAACCCTTGATGAAAACATTTAAAAAATCAAGAAATCATTCCTTTAACCTCTCACAATCATTAAGCAATTTCAAAATCACAGGCTAATCACCTTTGTATTATAAATCAGATAATATTGAGAGCATTAATTAGAAATGTGATAATAGAGAAACCAAAATTAACTCGTATGAATAGCATGTGAATTCACTTAAAATGATATCGAACCTGCGCAAGTAACAGAATTTATCTTTTGAAGCGATTCATCATAGCAAAGTTCAAAAATGTGAACTACCAACAGTAGGCTAAACTAACTGCAAAAAGCTCAAACTAAAGAACAGAATGATAAAATTCAACAGCTTATTAAATTCTTCATTAGAAAGAACAGTATAGCTACCATAAATAAAGATTATAAGTTAATAAATTCACCTGAAGAAGAAGACTAAAAGTAGTCAGAATATCAAGAACTATAATTCTACAGCATCTAATTCATTAGAGGATATTAATAGCAACTGCTAAGAATTTGACAAGAATTTTACATTTAATCTATGCAATTAATAAGAACTGTTGAAAGAAACTGATAAATTCTGTGAAGACAACATATTTGAAGGAATTGCCTTCAAAGATTTATTATCTCACTCAGAAGTGCACTCTATTAGTCTCTCTCCTGATAACCGTGCTTAGTTTTATCCTAAAATAAGTGCTATTATCACAAAAAAGAAGGAAAATAAAGTAATGAGAAAAAAGTGAAAATCAACTGAGAGGAATCTATTTTTGAATAGAATTCATATTTATAAATATATAAGCTAAGTTTTATAATAATATTTCTCAATAAATTTATCAAATATTTAACTTTTATTTGCATTGGGGTTTTGGGGTTTTGGGGTTTTGGGG